TCTCTCTCTCTCTCTCTCTCTCTCTCTCTCTCTCTCTCTCTCTCTCTCATTATGACCTGTGCCGCATCACAACGAATGAGATTAACGATGCACTTTTTACCGTTTCATTCTGTATTTTTTGTTGCGCCATTTCAACTCTCAACGAAAAAGAAAAAAATGAATTCTGTTAAATGAATATGAATTAATAAATATTCCATCCGACAGCTTACAAAAATATTTTACATAATCAACGTGATCGCACGGTTGCATCGCGAGGCCAGCAAAAGACAAAGTGAGAAAGAGCCAGATAGAGAGATTGTGTGTGTGTGTGTGTGTGTATGCAAGAGTGAGAGTGAGTCTTTGGATGCCATATAAGCATTTGAGTGGATCATGTTCGCTACTCGCACGTTTTCATTCAGCAACAACTCATCGTTCATATTCCATGTGGAGATCACCCTCGAACGAGAAGGAATAACACGACAGTCAAACAACCATTCGAATGCGAAAAATTATTCGAATCTGTTATGGCTTTCATATAGATAGCGCTGGGCGCTAGCAAAAAACCATACATTATTTAAATTTAAATATATTTTTTAAATAGACGCGCATTCAAATGAACGCAGCGCCGCGAACCAACACAAAAAATATCGAAACATATATGCTGTGCAATAACAGCAGCAGCAGAAATAGCAGCACTGAGTATCAACTCACTCATCCGCATATATGGATGCAACAAAAAAATAAAAATGCAAAATGCATAAATGTTTTTCGAATGCGTTCATTCGTTCGCTCGCTCGCTCTCCGTTCGTATGTCCTCTTTTATACATCGGTTGGGGAAAAGTGCATATAAATATACACAAATGAAGTGTTCATCATAAATTGAAGAACGTGAAGCATACTGCATGCAACAACAAAAAATTGATTTACTGCATTAATAATTATGCCTGTCAAATATTCAGAAAAAAAATATATTTTTATTTAAAAAAATGGGACACTGAAGTATTTCGCTTTACGACGAGAGGAAAAATGACACCATGACACGTCACAAAAACAACAACAGAATTATGACGCAGTTTTTCGCGAGAAAAACGTCATCGAAAATGTTGAAATATAATAATCATGATTACTTGTTGTTGTTTTTTTTTTTTCAAATGTAATGTTTTCACACAACCTTAAATCTGAAATTACAGCTAGTAATGTGATGCAATTTAATTTTGATCAGGTTTTATATATATTTTCTTTTCTTTTTTCTTTGCAGAAAACGAACGTATCGACAACGAATAATTTCTGGTTTAGTTCAACTAGAACGATAGTATTTGATTGTAATTACTTCTCAATCAGTCTCAATTGTATCCTTTCTCTCTCTCTCTCATTCTCTATCTTTCTTTCTTAATCATACACACACATTTTCTGCATGCACACGACAAAAAATGCACCAATATTTCAATAAAAATTTCACCAATTTCCCATTTTTTGTCGATCACGTCAATCCTCTCTTTTCTCTAGCTAATTTGTCGGAAAAATGTTATGTCTGTTCATAAATCCATTCAATTAAATTTTCCGTTGAATCCCATTTTTTCACAATGGCTTATATTTGCAACACACTTTAGAGAACCAAAAAGAAACGACAAAATAGAAGAGAATGGCATCCGTTCAACGAAAATTAGTTCACAAACAATTTAATTCTCCGATCGGCCTGTATTCGGAGAACAACCTCAAGTCAACACTTAATCGAGAGCTTAAGTTTGCTTCCAACGGCACCATGGGGTAAGTTTTTAGTTTTTCTCCCACCATACACGTACATATATGCATTTTCATTTATTTGCAAATATACAATAACAAAAGCGACTGATTCAATCATCATTGCATTCAACATTGACGCGCGCACGCTCGCACGATAGAGGGAGCAAACAAGCGTACTCTCACGCAAACAATTTTCCAATTGAATTGAGATGAATAATGCAACTATTTGCTTCGGAAACTTAATCATATTGTACGGTTACGATATTTGCCTCACTGCAATATAATGCCATTGCAAGATTGGTCCGTTGATTATTGACACTCGATTGAATTTGGAAACGGGGAATTTCGAATCGAACCAGGAGGCAACATTATCAAGAAGTTTAACCTCCCGCACACCAATTTCTCTCCCGAAAATTTAATGTATTTCATTGCCCAGACGCCACGTGCATATCGATCGATTTTTGTTCATTTTGGAAAATGTTGAAGACTCTTGAAATGAGCTTAAGGAAATTGTTTGAGGCAACGCAAGAGTTCATTTTTTTTCCCTTCGGAATAAGGTATAAAAACACATTCTTTTCGCACATTCGAAATGATTATATCGAGTGTTTCAGTGCATATACCCACCCGTTGCAAGCAAAATTCAAAACCTTATCAAAACCCAATTGAATTTACGTTCGTTCGTTTTTACGGTGGAGGATGTCATTTCTATATTTATCAATTAAATGACTTCTATTGGAAAAATATCAACTCTAAAGTACACTTTCAGTTTCACATCAATTTCCAGAAATTCATCTGATAAATTGGTCTGAGTTGGTTGTCGCTTTTAAATTGAATTCGACGTACATAATGTTGTGCGCTGGCATAATGTGATATGTTTGTTTTTGGTTGATATGTTCATTGAAAATACGTTGCCATTTACTTGGTACATTCTCCTGTGAGACGGTTTCCACTCTCACCCGCTCATTCCCATAATTTGTGCAATGGAGAGTGAACGAGAAACACTATTTTCAATGCATATCACATTCGGCATCTATTATTATTGCCGATTATTATTCAACCGATTTGCCCGAACACATTTCAGTCGTTCGCATCGAAACTTCCACTGTTGCTATTGCCTGCACTTTTCCAATTTGCATAAGACTAATTTATTTACTCTGATTCTATTACTGTAAGATATTTCATAAAATACACTGCCGTATATATATATATATATGCAGTAAAGCAGTTTGTCATATACATCTCTATCGTCGTATTTTGTCGATTCGACTGCTTTTATTCCTCTCATCAACTTGACAAAATTATTGCACATAATTTTGAGTACGATTCTGCGGCCAACCACTTCATGAGTCAATGAAACAGTCAATGATTATTGATTTGAAATAATAAATTTGATTATTTTCGTATTGGCACATGTGTAGAATAGTGTCTATTTCTTTAAACTAGAACTCAGCATATGAAAATCGATCAAAATTTCAAAATTTGTTCAATCAATTCAATTTTGACGACTATAAATGTGTCTTTGAGCTGTGTAACTTATAAATCAATATAATGTCAAATTGAATTTCGCCTTGAACTTCTTTGATTGGAATTAAATGAGCATCTTCTTCGTCATTCGCTAATCTGTAAAATTTCAAAGAAAATTCCACGTGTTCAAGTTTTGTTCCCGGGTTTCGTCATTGTTTTCCAATTTTGTCGAGCAGAGCGCTGGAATTTTATAGCAGGTTTATTGATATACTTCCATTATCTAAGTCCATCGACCCAATCATCATCCCAGTGGGTTTTATTGTTTTGTTCCGCCAAATAGATGGTCGTTAAATATATCGCAACTCTCCATCTTCTCACACTAGTTTGAATTCTATTCCTTGTTGATTTTATGGATTATACTACATAATCCAAAAGTTCAATATTTACATTCGTTATCTCGTCATCTCGGTTCTGTTTTAATTTCACCCAAGTCGACCTTTTGATTCGCTCACTGGGAATTGATCTAAAATGCAATAGATAAATCAATAAACAGAAGAAAAGAAAAATGGAGAATTTGATATCACGTGTGCAAATTACTGTGCAAGTGAACGAACCAAAAAAGAAATACACAAATTACAAATCATTTCGCCAATAAGACTCACACCGATAATTTTGCTTCAATTAAATGCATTAACTATTGCGAGAGATGACAAATCAACTGGAATATAGAGAGCTAACCGCAGAAAATCTATGCACACCAATGTATCAACTGATTGTGCTTCGGCTGTTCGCTCCAATGCAATCGAATGCTGTGTGAAAGTGGCGCATTGTCTATCAAATTGCAAGACTGGTTACTGCCACTGCACTGCTGCTGCTGCTGCTGCTGCTGCTGCTGCTGCTGCTTGAGGAAAGTTTATGCAATAAACGGAAACCGTTAAAAGTACATTCGCCTCAGAAAATCCAGAACTCTCATATTTTACGGCAACTTGAGAGCGTTATTTAAATTGACATTAAAGCTCAACGGCATTATGATTTAGCGCATTATATGTATGTTTTGTACTTATTGGATTATCCCGTTCATATTTATCAACATTTTCATGGCATCAAGCGTGAGTGTGTTTCAAACTTGAATCATTATTATTAAACCAAAAATGTCATCCAAACGTTGATTTATATCTTATAAAGTTGGTTGAAGCAGACAGAAAGCAAAAATAAACGGATTTTTACTATACCAACACACAAATCAGATCCGGGTGTTGTTATTACATTTCCGTTCATCTTTTATTTTTAGAAGAAAATGAAACGAATTATCTCAATTTTTCGAATCGAATTGGTAAATACCAAGATATAGAACATCATAGTTCGATTAGGAATGGTTTATACGCAAATATTATTGCATCACCATCATTATATTCTTCTATCTTTCAAATGGAAGCATATGATGGATACAAACATAAAATTTCTTTGAATTCAAAGCATGTTGATTTCTTTTCCACCTGGGGACAGTCTCATATTTGCTAAATATAATATTGATATATATATATATATATTGCACACTGCAGACCGTATCTTATATTGAATGCCAGTCGCTAAATGCCTATTTTAATTGCCGAGAAATTTATACAAGCATCTCTTTTTAAGATAGTTGTATCAATATCCAGGCACGTTTTACTTAATTACAAATGGTACATTTTTAATGGGGCAACGGTCGTTTGATATGAAAATTTATATGCGATTGGTTTTAATTATGAGCCACCGTTGAATAATTTTCGCCATTCGCTGTTTGGCACGCATGACGGTGCTGCTTGCGTCTTTTTGCCCATTTCATGTTCGGGCAATGAGCTTGAATATGTTATGGTGTGCCTGCTACCACTCTCCACCGCCGCCACTATTGCACTGTAGCAATAGCAGCAGCAGCAACGCATTGTGGCTGTAAGTCTGTGTAGAATTCCATCTTCTCAATGATTGCCCATGTGGGTGTCATACAGTCGCCGTGCACGTTTTTATTTCTCTATCTCTCATTGAAGTACATTTGCATTCATTACAAATTGTTTGGCTCCGTAGTTTTCGGGCGGTGAGTATCGGGTGTGGGTGTTGGTGATGGTGTTAGCAATTCCGCGGATCACGTACTGCATATCAACACTATGGCAGATGTTTTGCATGTGTCATTCCAGGTGTCATACCGACAAGAACGCGAATTTATGGCGGAATAATTGAGGCGTATATGTTTTCACCGTGAAGTAAATGACATTTGTTCGCTCCATTTTTCGGTGTACTTTTTTTTGGCTTAGCAACAGTTCGTGCTACTACTGGTAAAGCTTTGAATTGAAATTGACATTTCTTTTGCCAATTTTTGAATACATAAAATGTACTAATTATTAGAACCGATGCCGTTTTTTTTGTTCTTCTTCTGACCCAATTTTCTTGTGTTCGCCTGATGCGCTCGTCATCTCGTTACCACATCACATTTGGTTAATAGCTACCATAATTTTTACACCATAACTGAAAATTGTTAAATGAGCGTAAAGTTTCACCGCAAATGGAATACTTGTGCATTTGCATATCCAGCATAAGCTATTGGCATCTACTGAAATGAAAACAAATTCTGGACAAAACCAGAAGAAAAAAGTTCATGAAAATATTCACACAGTGTGCATATAGGGCTAGGCGATGCTATCAGCGCCGCCTGGATTTACATTTATTGCATAATAAAATTTCTTTATTATTCAACGATTTGTTCATATCAATTTGATTGCTCGACGAAATTGTGACGATGAAAAAAGTAGTTTAGATGTCACTAGAACCATGTAGCATGAGAATTAAATGTTGAACGAGCGATGAGAAATCGACACAATGGGCGCTTTCCATACAGAGAGAAATTAGAAGAATATGGAGAGAAAGAGAAACACACAGAGACAGAGACAGACACAAAAAAGCAGAGATAGAGGGCATGAAGTGAACAAACGATAGTTTAAAACTTTGAAATTAAATTCAGTGGCATCGTCCAACTAATCAACTTAAATGTCTCTCATCGGAGTAGTAAATTGAATTCTGTGCATGTTGAAAATGGATGTGTCCGTTGTATGTTGACACAGTGAAATGAATGATGGCAAAAAGAAACTGCATAGTTACACTCTCTCTCTCTCTCTCTCTTTCTCTCTCTCTCTCCCTCTCTCTCTCCCTGTTTCTCATAATATTGGTTTCAAAAAATGATGCCAAAGCTCATCATCGTCCCGTTACACTCACTTGCACACAAACACAGATACACACGCTACCACTCACCATCCGAAACATAGAAGACGACGAAAAACCGAAAAATAAACGAAAGTCACACAAGTGGATAGGAAAATGTAAGGAAAAATCGACAAATTTACTGGAAGCAAATTAAAGCTATAAAATCCAAGCAAAATTTCGACAAAACCTCATCTAAAATCATATATAATGGTTTTGGCAATGCGGCCCATAAAAACGCTTATATTTTATGTATGTGATTGTTTTCGTCTTGATGCTCACACTCTCTCCTGCTCTGTGCTACCATTTTTCCACGCAGCATGTTTTTG